ACATCCCTGCCTCAATAAAATGAGTGACTTGTCACCTTCTTTACCAGTTAAAGGAATACCGGAGATACTGTGGGTTCAGTTTCAGACCATTGCAATAAAGCGAATATCGGAATAAAATGAGCCACATTTTTTTTTTTTTTTTTGGTTTCCAAGTACATATAAAAGTTACATTTAATAGACACAGGGAGGGGAACACACTGGGGCCTATGGGGTAGGGATAAAGGGAGAGCATCAGAAACAACAGCTAATGCATGCTGGGCTTAATATGTAGGTGATGGGTTGGCAGCAGCAAACCACCATGGAACATATTTACCTACATAACAAACCTGCACATCCCACACACATACCCAGGAACTTAAAAAAAGAAAAAGGGGGTGGGGTTATGTTTATACTCTACTGTTATTGCCTATTAAGTATGCAAAAGCATTATGTCTAAAAAACAATGTATATATCTTAATTTAAAGTACTTTATTGCTCACGCCTATAATCCTAGCACTTGGGGAGGCTGAGGCAGGTGGATCACCTGAGGTCAAGAGTAGGATGTGCCTGGCCAACATGGGGAAACCCTGTCTCTACTAAAAACACAAAAAATTAGCTAGGTGTGATGGTGAGGGCATGTAATCCCAGCTACTTGGGAGGCTGAGGCAGGAGAATTGCTTGAACTCAGGAGGCAGAGGTTGCAGTGAGCCAATATGGCACCACTGCACTCCAGCCTGGGTAACAGAACAAGACTTTGTCTCAAAATAGAATAATTAATAAATATTTTATTGCTTAAAAAAAATCCAACAGTCATCTGAGCATTCAGTGAGTTTTTGCTGAGATTTCTGCCTTATTATATTAACAATCAGGGTGGTGGATGCTGAAGGTTGGGGTGGCTTTGGCAACTTTTAAAAATAAGACAGCAATGAATTTTGACACATTGACTCTTCCTTTCATGAAAGATTTATCTAAACATGCAATGCTGTTTTGATAGCATCTTACCCACAGTAAAACTTCTTTTGATGTTGGAGTCAATCTTCTCAAACTCTGCTACTGCTTTATCAACTAAGTTGACGTAATATTCTAAATCCCATGTTGTCGTTTCAACAATGTTCACACTATTCTCACTAAGAGTAGATTCCCTCTCAAGAAACCACTTTCTTTGCTCGAGAAGCAACTTCTCATCTGGTCAGGTTTTACCATGAGATTGTGTCAATTCAGTTACATCTTCAAGTTCCACTTTATTTATTTATATTTTGAGACAGAGTCTCATTCTGTTGCCCAGGCTGGAGTACAGTGGTGCCATCTCAGCTCACTGCAATTTAAGCAATTCTCCTGGCTCAGCTTCCCAAGTAGCTGGATTGCAGGCTTACACAAGCATGCACAGTTAATTTTTTATTGGGATTACAGACTTGCACAACCACACCTGGCTAATTTTTGTACTTTTAGTAGAGAGGGGGTTTCACCATGTTGGCCAGGATGGTCTTGAACTTCTGATCTCAAGTGATCCACACGCCTTGGCCTCCCAAAGTGCTAGGATTACAGGCATGAACCATGGCACTCGGACTCCAGGTTCCACTTCTAATTTTAGCTGTCTTGCTATTTCTACATCTACAGTAACTTGCTCCACTGAAGTCTTGCATTCCTCAAAGTCATACATGAGGGCTGAAATCAACTTCTTCCAAACTCCTATTAATGCTGATATTCTGACCTTCTCCCATGAATCCCAATTTTTTAAAATGCATCTATAATAGCTAATCCTTTCCAGAAAGTTTTCAATTTACTTTGCTCAGATCCATCAGAGGGACCACTCTAGCTATGGCAGCTGTAGCCTTATGAAATGTACTTAAATAATACAACTTACTCCTTGTTCCATGAGCTACACAGTGGATGCAGTGTTGGCAGGCATGAAAACAACACTCATCTTGCACATCACCATCAGAGATCTTGGATGACCAGGTGCACTGTCCATGAGTATATTTCGAAAGGAATCTTTTTTTGTAGGTCTCAACTATAGGCTTAAAATAGTCCATAAACCATGCCATAACAGAGGCACTGTCATCCAGGCTTTGTTGATTCATTTATAGAGCACAGGTAGAGTAGATTTAGCATAATTTTTACAGGTCCTAATGTTTATGGAATTGTCAGTGAGCATTGGGCTTCAACTTAAAAGTTACCAGCTACATTAGCCACTAACAAGAGAGTTCGCCTGTCCTCAGGTTTCAGCTTTGAAGCCAGGCATTTACTTTTCTCTAGCTATGAAAGTGCTAGATGGCATCTCCTTCTAGTAGAAGGCTGTTTCATCTACATGGAAAATCTGTTGGTTAGTGTAGCCATTTTCATGAATTGTCATAGCTAGATCTGGGTAATTTGCTGGAGCTTCTGTATCGGCACTTGCTGCATCACTTCACGCTTTTATGTTATAACATGGCTTCTTTCCTTAAACCTCATTAATCAACCTCTGTTAGCTTCAAACTTTCCTTCGGAAACTTCCTCACCTCTCTTGGCCTTTACAGAATTGCAGAGAGTTAGTGTTTTGATCTGGATTAAGCTTTTGCTTAAGGAAATGTTGTGGTTGATTTGATCTTCTAGTTAGACCATTTAAACTTTCTCCACTATTTGTGTTGGAACTAAAAGTTCTGTGGAGTAGCGCTTTTAATTTCTTTCAAGAGCTTTTCTTTTGCATTCACAAACTTGGCTAAATGTCTGCTGCAAGAGGCCCATCTTTTGGCCTATCTCATCTTGTGACATGCCTTCCTCACTAAGCTTAATCATTTCTAGGTTTTGATTTAAAGGGAGAGACATGTGACTCATCCTTTCACTCAAACACTAATAGATGCCATTGTAGGGCTATAAATTGGCCTAATTTCAATACTGTTGTGTCTCAGGAATAGGGAGGCCCAAGGAGAGGGAGAGAAACAGGCAAGAAAGGGCCAGTTGGTGAAGCAATCACAACATATATAATATTGATCAATTAGGTTCACCATCTTGATTGGGCACAGTTTGTGTCACCCTAAAACAATTACAACAGAAACATCGAAGATCACTGATCAAAGATCACCACAACAAAACAAAAAGTTTGAAACATTGTGAGGATTACCTAAATGTGACACAGAGACATGAATGACCATATGCTGTTGAGAAAATGTGCCTGCAGACTTGCTTGATGCAGGGTTGCTGCAAAATTTCAATTTGTATAAAACACAATATATGAAAAGCATAATAAATCAACACATAACAAAACAGGGTATGCCAGTGTAAGTTTATCTCAGCTTCAGCCTGCCATTTCCTACAGATAAAATTTAGTATGCCATCCAATCTTGAGACAAATGAAAACACAACATACCAATACTTATAGGATACAGCAAAAGCAGCATGAAGAGGAAAATTTACAGCTGTAAATATCTACATTAAAAAAGATGTCAAATTAGCAACTCACTTTATACCTTAGGGAATTATTACCTGAGGAAAAAGAAGAGCAAACTAAACCCAAAGCCAGCAGAAGGTAGGAAATAATAAATCTTTAGAATAGAGATAAGAGAATATTGGATCTTTTAGTCACAAATACTCAGGAGGCTGAGGCAGGAGGATCACTTGAGTCCAGGAGTTGAAGTCCTGCCTGGGCAACACAGAAAGGCTCTGTCTCAAAAACAAAAACAAAAAACCCCCACCTGAGCCTCCCTCTAATTAAAGAAAGTTGGTTCCTTAAAAAGATCAACAGGCTGGGTACAGTAGCTCAAGCCTGTAGTTCCAACACTTTGGGAGGCCAAGGCAGGTGGATCACTTGAGGTCAGGAGTTCGAGACCAACCTGGCCAACATGGTGAAACCCCATCTCTACTAAAAATACAAAAAAAACAAAACAAAACAAAAAAAAAAACAAAAATTACCTGGGCATGGTGGCGGGCACCTGTAATCCCAGCTACTCGGGAGGCTGAGGCAGGAGAATCATTTGAACCTGGGAGGCAGAGGTTGCAGTGAGCCGAGATCGAGCCATTGCCCTCCAGCCTGGGCGACAAAAGCAAAACCCCATCTAAAAAAAAAAAAAAAAAAGATCAACAAGATTGATAAAGGAATTGGAATTGACCATTTAAAAAAGAGAGAGAAAAGAATACAAGTGACAAATCAGGAATAAAAGTGGGAACACTGCTAACAACCTTAAAAATTAAAAGAATCATAAGAGAATACTGTGAATAACTAAATGCCAAAAAACTAATCTAGAAGAAATAGAAAAATTCCTAGAAACACAGAAATTACCAAAATGTCAAGAAGAAATAGAAGATCTGAACAGACCTATAAGTAAAGAGACTGAATTAAGAATCGAAAAATTCCTCAAATGGAAAAATCCAGCACTATGTGGTTTCACTGGTAAATTCCATGAAACAAAATTAACACTAATTATTCTCAAACTCTTTCAGAAATGGAGGACAACACTTCCTAACACATTCTAAGCAGCCAGCATCACCCTAATATCAAAGCCAAAGATACTGAAAGAAAACTACAAACAAATATCCATTATGAAAACAGACACAAAAATCCTCAACAACATACTAGCAAACTGAAACCAACGGCATATTAAAAGTATCATATAACATAACCAAGGGCTTTATCCCAGGAATGGCAGGATAGTTCAACATAGGAAATGCAATCAATGTAACACATCATATTAACAGAACAAAGAAAAAACACTACATGATCATCTCAATGGATGCAGAAAAAGCATTTGACAAAATTTGACACCACTTCATGATTTAAAAAAACAAAAAAACAAAAAACTCAGCAAATGAGTAATAGAAGCAGAGGTCCTCTACATGATAAAGAGCATCTATGAAAAACCCATAGCAAACATCATACTCAATGGTGAGAGACAAGTTTTCCCCCAATATCAGTAAAGAGACAAGGCTATCACTTTTACCATTGCTAGTCAACATTGTACTAAAAGTCCGAGTCAGAGCAATTATGCAAGAAGAATAAATAAAAGGCATCCAAATTGGAAAGGATGAAGTCAGACTATCTCTATTTGTGGATGACATAATTCTATTAACAGAAAATCCCTTAGTATCCACACACGAAAAAAACAAAAAAAACCTGCTAGAGCTAATGAACTAATTAAGCAAACTTGCACGCACAACACCAGCATGCAAAAATCAGTTGTGCTTCTATATAACAGCAATGAATGATCCAAAAAGAAAATTAAGAAAATAATCCATTTGCAATAGCTTCCAAAAGAATAATTAAAAAAAATAATAATAATAAGTGTAACCTCATGACTAGCCTGGCCAACATTATGAAACGCTGCCTCTACTAAAAACACAAAAATTAGCTGGGCACGGTGGCGGCCGCCTGTAATCCCAGCTACTCAAGAGGCTAAGGCAGGAGAATCACTTGAACCCAGGAGGCAGAGGTTGCAGTGAGCTAGGATCGCAGCACTGTACCACAACCTGGGCGAGAAGAGCAAAACTCCTCCTCCTCAAAAAAAAAAAAATAAATAAAATAAAAAGAAGGGAAAGTAAAAGACTTGTGCACTAAAAACTACAAAACATTTTTAGAAAAACTTACAGGCCTAATTAAATGGAAATACTTCCATTTAATTAAGATGGTAAAATTCCCCCAAAGTGATCACAGATTCAACCCAATCCCTATCAAAGTTCTAAAGGCCTTTTTGCTGGATCGTAAAAGCTTATCCTCAAATTCATATGGAACTGAAAGGGTCCCTAACAACAAAAACGATACTGAGAAAGGAAAAGGAGTACTCACACTCGCTGATTTCAGAACAGTGATTACAAAACTATAGTAACTGTGTGGTAGTAGCAGAAGGGCAGACATATAGACCAATGGAATAGATTTAAGAGTCCAGAAATAAGCCCAATCATCTATGGCCATTTCCAACTAAGTGCCAAGACCATTCAATGGGAAAAAGAACAGTCTTTTCAACAAATGGTACTGGGACAACTGGATAACCACGTGCAAAAGAATGAAGTTGGAGGCCTGTCTCACACCAGGTACAGAAATTAAATCAAACTGGATAAACGGTCTGAATATAAAAGCTATATTTGTAAAGCTCTCAGAAGGCATGGGTTGGATCTTCCTGACTCTGGATTTAGCAATGGATTCTTAGCTTTGACCTCAAAAGCACAAACAGTAAAAAAATAAATACAGAAACTGAACTTTAACAAAATAAAAATCCTTTGCACATCAACAAATATTACTGAAATACATTTGGTAAATGTTTAATATCCAGAACATATTAAAAAACTCACCAACAAAAAGACAAGTAACTCAATTTTTTAAATGAGCAAAGGACTTGAACAGACTTTCTTAAAAGAAGAAATATAAATGACCAAGTCCATAAAAAGTTGTTTAACATCATGGTCATTAAAGAACTGCAAATCAATACTACAATAATACCACTTCGTGCCCATCAGAATAACTTTAATAAACAAACAAAAAAATGAAAACTTATTAATAAGTTCTGACACTGATGTAGAGAAACAAAGACCCTCATATACTGCTGGTGGGAACGGTGAATCTACTATGGATAATAAGGTTAGCAGTTCCTAAGTTAAGACAGAATTACCATATAATCCAGCAATTCAATGCCTAGATATACATTCAGGAGAAATGCAAACTCGTATCCACAGAAAAACTTGTACACATATGTTTATAGCACTGTATTCATAAATGCCAAATAGTAAAAACAACTCAAATATTCATGAAGGAATAATATGTAAATTACGGTATATCTATACAGTGAATTATTATTTAGCCATATAAAGAAATGAAGCACATGCTACAACTTATATGAACCTTGAAAACATGATGCCAAGTAAAAGAAACAAAAGTCATATATTCTACAGTTTCTCTCATATGAAATATACAGAACAGGAACAGGCAAATATTCAGAGACAGAAAGTAAAGGTTTACGGTGAAAGAAGGGGGCAAATAAAAAGTGACTATGTAATGAATATATGGTGTTTTTATGGGGTGATGAAACACTTTAGAAATTAGAAAGCTAGTTGTTGCACAAGAGTGTAAATAGAGTAGTCTCTCCTTATCTACAGTTTTACTTTTCACAGTTTCAGTTACCTGCAGTCAATCACAGTCCAAAAACATTAAATGGAAAATTTTGAAATATGCAAGTTATAGGTTTTAAATTGCTATTCTACGGAGCTTGATGACATCATACACCATCCGACTCTGAGGAACGTGAATCATCTCCTTTGTCCAGTGTAAGTGTTCTCCACCCATTAGTTACTTAGTAGTCATCTCGGTTATCAGATTGACCGTTATGGCACTGAAGTACTTTTGTTCAAGAACCTTTATTTCATTTAATAATGGTCCCGAAGTACAAAAGTAGTGATACTGGCAATTCAAGTTATGTCAAAGAATTGACAAACTGTTTCCTTTACATAAAAAGGTGAAAGTTCTCAATAAGAAGAGAAAAAAATATGCTAAGGTCACCAAGATCTACAGTAAGAACAAATCTTCTACTCACTGAATTGCAAAGAAGGAAAACCTGGGTGCGGTGGTGTATGCCTGTAGTCCCAGCTATTCGGGAGGCTGAGGCAGGAGAATCACTTGAACCTGGGAGGCAGAGGTTGTAGTGGGCCAAAATCACGCCACTATACTCCAGCCTGGGCGACAGAGCAAGACTGTCTCAAAAAAAAAAAAAAAAAAAAAAGGAAAAAAAGAAAAAAAAAAAGAAATTTATGCTAGTTTTGCTCTTGTACCTCAAACTCCAGAAGTTATGAACATGGTTCATAATAAGCGCTTAGGTAAGAAATAAAAGGCATTAAATATATGGGTTACAGATATGAACAGAAATCTGTCTGACTGATGGCAATAAGGTTTGGAACTACCTATAATTTCAGGCATCCTCTGGAGGTCTTGAAATGTACTCCACGAATAAGGAGGGACTACTGTTCACTAAATATCAATGAATTGTACACTAAAAATGGTTAATTGCATGTAATGTGAATTTTACCTCCATTTAAAGAAAAAGAAAGTCAATCATAAAATGTCCCATGTCCTGATGACACCCAATCTAGGACAAACTTCCACTTCCTTGGACCCTCTCCAAACTACCCAACTGAAGCCCAAATCCTGAAATAGGTTCCTTCTAATACCCTCTTAGTAAGCCACCCCCAAGTTTTCTTTAGTGTGTGCCCCTCACTGCAACAAGTAAAAAATGTGTTCAACTGCAGGTGTCCTTGCTACTCTTTTTGGATGGAGGACATTGACAAGACTAACAATTTCTCAACAGAAACAACAGACAGCAGAACACAAAGGAATAACATCCTCATTAAAAGAAAATAACTGCCAACTCAGAATCCTAGAAAATCATCATTCAAAAGTGAGGGTGAAATACAGAACATGACCAGACAACAAAAACGAAGAGACCTTCTCACTACAGACGTACACTATAAAGGATGCAACAGCAAGTGTTCTTCAAAAATAGAAAATGATCACAGATGAAGAACTGAAGATGGAGGATAGAATAAAAAGTGATACAAGTGGTAAATATGTCGGTAAATCTACATAGCAAAAAGATGTTTCACGGTGGCTACAATATATATGGAGTTTAAAAACACAAGAGTATAGTAGCAAATAAATTGAATAAAGGGTAGAGTATAGAAGGGAATCAATGGGATTAAAGTGTTTTAGGTTTCTTGCATTGTCTGGAAAGATAAAACAATGAACAAATTATTGAGCTAATCTAATTTACTTGCTCAAATTTAATTTGATTAAATTTAATTTAGTGGCGATTTGATTGAATTAGATCAGGGGTACGTTCTGTAATCCCTAGGACAAGAGGTCTGAAAAGTGTGATCTGTGGGCCCTGGGGGTCGTCCCTAAGACCTTATTAGTGGATATTCAGAAAAACAAAGCTATTTTCATAAACAATACTAACACCTTATCTACCTTTTGCTGCCATTCTCTCACAAGTGTACAATGGAGTTTTCCAGAGGCTATATAACATACAATATCTTAACAGAAGCAGATATGAGACTCCAACTGCCTTCTATCAAATGAGACATTAAAGAGATTTTTAACACATGTAAAAGAATGGTACTCTTCACACTAAATTTTGTTCTGGAATGTATATTTTTCTCAAAATGGTGTTATGTTCACATGTAATGGAGTATTATTTCAAAATAAAATAAACATTTAAAATTTAATTTCAAAAGCAGTAAATATTGTTCTCAACTGGGATCAATATACTTGGAAATGTCTAGAGACTTGGCTGTCACATTGGGTGAGTACTACTGGCATCTAGTGAGTATAGGATAGGCAAAAATCCTCTTACACATAGAGTCTCCATGTACACACAGTCTACAGAAAAGAAAATTATCTGGCCCAAAACGTCAACTGTGCCAAGGCTGAGAAGCAACCTTGATATAAGCAATAAATATCCTGATATAATCATATAAATAAAAGCTATCTTAAAAAGTTCAAAGGGATCCTGAGAACAAAGAATTTCAATCTCACTGAGCCAAATAAACAGATAATGTGCCATTCATGAACTATAAGACCTAATATCATAAAGATGTTAACTCTATCTCAATGAATAGATTCAAGTTTCATAAAACTTATATGACTAAAAATTTATGGAAAGCAATGAGACAAAGTAGGAGGACCTGCCTTGGTAGATATAAAGACTTATCATAATGCCATGTAATTAAAACACCATAGTGTTGGTGCTTTGGATAAACCAAAGTAGACCAATGGAGGAAAAATTAAAAAACAACAACAAAAAACAGAGTCCATAAACAGACCCACAGATACACTATGGTCACTTTATTTACGTCAAAGGCAATACTGTAGAGCAGTTGGGAAGTTATCTTTTTAATAAACGTCATATAAAACGTATATTCACATGTAAGAAAAGGTGATCTCTATGCTTCACATATTATATAAAAATCAGTTCTAGACAAAAGGTAGATGTAAATATATAATAAACAACATACAAAACAATAATCAGTTCTAGGTAGATGGTAGAAAGCAAAATAATAAAGATTCTAGAATGATGTTTCTCAATCACTAGTGACACCCTGGCTAGATGTTTCTTTTGTGCATTGTAGGATGCTTAACATTTTGTACACATTGTAGGACATTTACCAGCAGCACTAGTCCAACTCGCTAGATGACCAGAGTACTCCACTCACTCAGTTATAAAAACTAAACATGTAGTCACACTGCCAAATGTCCCGCTGAGATGGTGGGAGATGTGGGGTTAGAGATGAGGGAACTGCTTCTAGTTGAGAAGCACAGTTTCAGAGCATAAGAGAGTTTCTTCCTGTCCTTGGAGCAAGAAAAGACTTCTTAAATGGGACACAAGCAGCATTAACAATAAGAGCAAACAATGATAAACTGGACTATACTAAAATTAAGACCTTCCTTTCATCAACAGATAACATTAGGAAGGTGAAAGTCAAGCCAAAGTGGATTATATATATATATTTTAAATGTAATAAAGAGTCCGTATTTAGATCATATAAAAAACTCCTAAAAACAAAAGAAGTACAGAAACCCCAATAGGAAAAAAAGGGCTTGTATGCATAAACTATATAATTCCTATT